CTGCTGATGGTGGACACAACCACAAGCAGCATTCAGTGCCAGCTACACATTTGTCACGATGTTAGCTGCGAGTTGATCCTCATGTTGACAAATATATGTCCACCTGAATTCATTTTAAAGAGGACATATTCTGCTCATGTTCATAATTGTATTGTGTGCCTCTACTGGGACATGTTTCCATGCTTTAATGTTCAGAAAGCTCTTTATTTTTCTCATACTGCCTGTGCTGCAGCACCTCTTTTCACCCTCTGTCTGAAACCAGGGCCCAGTCTGCTCTGATTGGTTAGCTGGCCGGCTCTGTTGTCATTGGTCAGCCGTTTATAGTCCTGTTTCTTAGCCTATGACGTACAATGTGTTGATGCGCAGGCCAATAGAAGAGCGAGTGTAACGGAAGTAAACAAAGGAGTCCAATGAAGGCGTTTCAGGAAGGGGGGAGAGTTTTTGGAAGGATCTTTTAGGCCCCGGCTCCACGGGAACGCATACGGCAAAACGCATAGGAGTAACGCAAACGCAAACGCCAAAAAGCTTCCGCCCACACGCAATATACACCGGATTGTGTCAAGCTACACGAGACAGCTCCGTTTACATCCAACCTGCTCCAAAAGCTGCAGTACATATGCCGAACCTGTACATGGCGCTGTAACTTCCTCCACAAAAAGCAGCAACTTCCTCCACAAAAGCAGCGAAGAAGAATGGTTGTCATGGCTGCACTTCTGTTTATTCTCCGCGGTGGGGGCCGAGGGAACCGCGCAGAGTTTTTCCCCGGTCAACGTGTGTTAAAGTTTAAATCTTCATGCTTCCTCATGCAGCAGCTGATCCAGTAAGTAAACCCGACAGTAAAAATAAACATATTTATAACTAGTTTAGGTAGTTTGAGAGGTAATTAAAATAGCTAAGGGTGATGATCTGACTTGAAGTGTGTGTTTTGCTCCCGCTGCATCACAGCGGGAGGAGCTGTGTGTCTCCGTCCTGTCAGATTAGACTTTACTCGCGTTTATGTCCATATCGAGATAAAGATAAATAATCTGAATTCAGTGTGCAGTGTACTTTTGCGGGGGTGAGCAGCAGAGGTGGGGAGAGGCGGGGCTATTGCGTCGTCATTATCAGAAACGGATGACCGTATAGGCGACCCCACGGCCCCGTTGGACCCCCCCAGAGCGCTCCGTTCCCAGATCTATCCACCTTTGGACCCGTTGTCGTTTGCAGGGTCCGTTTCTACCGTTCCGTTACGGCGTCGTCTAGCTTAAAGGGCTATACGCAAGAGAAATATGCGGATTCAACCCGTTTTCGTTCCCGTGGAGCCTAGGCCTTAGACTTACAGTTTATGAATAATCACAGAGGTAGAAGATTATAGACCTCATGTCCCCCTTCTTTATTCAATTGGTTTGTTTATGTTCAAACTATATAGAAACATCTGATCTAGTATCACATTAGACTGCCCATACTGTATGTTGTTAAAACTACACAAGGGACTACACTGCGTGATTCCAGTGGGATCAAAGGAATACTACATAGTGTGATCGGGGGTGAGATTAGACCAACCTTTTGCAGTGAATGAGGTCCGGAAGAATTTACATCTGCTGTTTTATCTGCATCAGCATGGGCTCATGACGTATACAGTATCAGAAACATGTGAAATAATATTTATAACATATATGAGTGAAAAGGACATTGTGTGCACATGCAAACAATACCTCTTGCATGCACACACTGGATATCTCTATACATTAAATACTTTCCCATGTTTATATGGAAGAACCGGTATGCTTGAAAGTAATTAACCATTGAAAGACTATTAACAACCTTTTTTAAGAGATAATTCTAAGTATTTTCCCCTTCTATTTCGCTACGTAGAAGCATGTTTAAGTAAATAAGTTAAGCTTTAATTTTCTGAACCAAGGCAATAAACCAAATATACACCTTAAATATACTAGCTAGTACATATGCTACTGTAGTACGTAACAGAGTGTACAAGGGCATTTCTGTACTTCACTATCCCTGTAAGCAGTCTTGCAGAATGTTATGAGCAATGATGTTGGTTGTGGGTGAGTAATAGCAGCATTACAAAGCCTGTTGACAGGGGTCACGTCACCGATATATCCATCTCCACCCACCCTATAGTAACAGTCGTCATTGTGACTTTGAACCCTGTTGTAAGTGTCACACTGCACACACTTTCCATCGCCCCCCTGGCCCCTTGTGACCGCGTCTGCATCGACACGGATAATTGGCGAGAAGCTGCAGATCTCTGGGGAGCTCATTCCAGACGAGTCACTGTTGGATGTTTCGGAGAGAAAATGGCCCTCGGGGTGCACGGAGGAAGGACTGTCGGGATCATACTCGCAGTGACACACACACTCTGTCTGCATTTTGCGACGGCATGCTGGATACGTCTATTACTCAGGGTGTTGTGACAGCTCCAGGACATTGTGGACTCGTTTTTGTCACATCGTATCTGGGACAGCTCAGAGAAATGCTGAGCGGATGGCTGTGGCAGGTTCGACACAGATGTGAAATGTGATTAGCCCGCATTTCACTTTTCTTTCCTGCCGTTACTGCATCTCATATTCTGTTTGCTACTGAACAAAAAGTTTGGGAACACTTTCTATGGCAGCCATGTCTATAATACATACCATTTATATTTGTGTGTATTAATGTGTTATATTTGACTAATACAGTAGTACTGTATTATTATAGTTATGAGTAATATATAAATATTCATAATGCTTCATAAGAACAATCCTAACACAACTTAGTATTTTAAAACGACTACAAATGTCCAGTATCCTACTACCTCATTGTTGCTTGATATTTATTTTTGCAAGTATCATAGTGTGTATCATAATTCTAATTGTTGTAATAAATAAAAAATGTATGATTCATTATTTGTTTTGACTTATACTTCCATATATCTATATATACATGAATTTCAATTAAACAAAACGCCCCAAAATATTATTTTACTTATGTTTAAAATAAATCAAAATTAAAACAGATGTAGTGATAGATCAAAGCTTAGTGTAGGGAGTTGTAATAGGCATAATAAATGCATTATACAGGATAATCATTTCCTGTAAGTAGTCATTGTTTATTTTAAAAGTTCAAGGATTAGTATTTTTCAAAGCTTTTGATGACATGACACATCTGAGGCTGCGTGTAATTATGATTCCTCTTCCCCTCATTATTGTAGGGACAACTTTGGCGTTGCCCAGGAGACGCTAACAAGTGTAAACACACCCGGTCATCTGCTGCGGCTGATTAGCATGAAGAATTTATGCTGGCAGTTGATAAGTCAAGGGTCCAGGTGGCTGCGGTTGGGTTGAAGCCGATGAGGGAAAAGTAAATACATTTAAGAAGGATCAGTGCTACAAGCTGCACTACATTTCAGTTCATCTTTGCAAGAAAATAACAACTTCCTTTTGCAAAATATTTGTTATGTTCACCATAACAACCAGCATGTGAAGCACACACTTGTTTGATCGAAGGGAAGAAAGTGCACACATAACTTTAAACTTGAAATGTCAAGTTGAGAAGGAAAGGTTTTAATTGTCCCCTGATATATTTTTCTCCCAGCGGTGTTCACTTTGACTGACAGCTCTGCAAAAAATGTCCAGCAGCTAATCCAGTTGAATAAATCCTGTTATTGGACAATTTAGATCCTAATGCAGTTTGCTTTTACTTTACGTGGCACTTCCTGCCTTTTTATCCTCGGTCTCTTTGAAATACATTACACTTTTTGATCAGCATTCACTAACAGGCTAGGATTCAACATCAAGTTACTGTGAGTCCTAAAAGAGTATTTTCATTTTCATGTTTTCTCTTTTTCATTCCACTCTGATTATGTAGGATTGTTAATTATAGGAATCACTGTACCTGTTATTCTTGGTATCGGGTACATGTGCATGGTGGAATCAGCAGCTCTGGTTGCTAAGCACCTGGTCAGGTAAAACTGTTGCCATGGACAGAAAAAGAAAGTAGGTGTGCTCTATGTAGAGAGGGAAATGGTTTATGGTAAAAGTCATGGAGAAACTCTGGAGGGAACTTTGGGATTTTAGCCTTTGCAGACCATTCACATGCACAAAAACCTAAACACACTACAGGAAAGGGGAAATCCCTTAAAGCAAAAAAAGGGACACTTTAATGTCCCCTGAACTGTCTTCTGTCGCCCTTATTCATAAAACTCTAACAATACACAACAAGTTGACAATCAATATGATGTGATGAACAGAGGATGTCACTCTCCTTTTTTTCCTTCCACAACAGCCCTCTAAAATATATATTTTATTTGTTTTCTCAGACTTTTTCTCTCAATTAGCACATCTCAGCCAATGTACCGTCACTTCTCCTGTTTAATGTTTTCCTGTGTGGTCTTATAGCTGTCACAATACATAATAATAATAATAATAAATTATATTTCTATAGCGCTTTTCTTGAACCCAAAGACGTTTAATGAGACATGAGAACTAACATGTCGTTAAGGTTTAAAAATACGGCTTTGAAAATATATTTTTTAAAAGTGTTGCTCAGAGAGCTATAGCTAGACACAATGACAGAGGGAATTTGACAGGCTTGATATCCACTAACCCTGAAATCCTACTGCAATTATTTGTATTTTCTTCTGTCTTTTAGTTGATACCTTATTTTTCTTGAGTAAGCCATTGATAGTTTGTTGATAGTTTGATATTGCACTATCAGTAGATCTATAGATATCTAGATATCAGGACATTGTAAAAACGATCCATCACCATCCATCATCAAATTCCTAAAATCTTTTCTTTTTATCCGACTAAAAGTAAAAAAACTAAAGATATCTCTTAAACTGTTGCATAAGAAAAAGAAAAACAGAAAGCATCACAATTTAATTACCTGAACTATGTTATAATTCAGCATTTATCCTAAAAATAAAAAAAGCTAATTAAATGGAATGCCCTTGTGAGTTTTGAGGTGTCACCTTTTGTACACATTTGATGTATCAATATTGAAAACTCTTTTGTCTGCAGGTAAAGGCGACGTGTTTGGAGACGTCTTCTGGAAGGAAACCAACCTGGCCCACGCGTGCGCTAACGTCCGAGCGCTAACGTACTGCGACCTCCACGTCATCAGGAGGGAAGCCTTGCTCAAAGTGCTGGAGTTTTACACCGCCTTCGCAAACTCCTTCTCCCGCAACCTCATCCTCACCTGCAACCTGCGCAAGAGGGTAAGTTACCTTGCCCTGTACACACACACACACACACACACACACACACACACACACACACACACCACACACACACACACAACACACACCACACACACACACACACACACACACACACACACACACACACACACCACACACACACACACACACACACACACCACACACACACACACACACACACACACACACACACACACACACACACACACACACACACACCTGTGTCAGGGTTTCCGCTAGGATTTTTTTTCTTGTTACAGTAACAGGACAAATTCGAAACTTACCGGTCATGTTTCAATAATAAGAATAAGAATTGTGTAGCAGAGTTTCCGTTAGCAGTTAATTACCGGACTATGTCCGGATATGCTGATGTTTAATACAGTTAATGGGGCTCATTTTTATATTGCTTCAGTTTATAATCGTAAAAGATCGAAAAGTTCAGATTCATTTTTCAAAAAGTTATACGCTTCCACAAACAACAAACAACATAATTATTACATTCAAACAAACTACATTAACTTTGAATAATAACACGGGAGAAACGGATCCTCTCTTTTCCTCTCTCCCTCCCTCCCTCCTGACAGCCCGTCAGTTTCTCATGCAGCTCGCTAAACAGTGGGCGGGGCTTCAGGTTTATGTCCATATCGATCAGATCCAGCTCTCCTTTATAGAGAGCACCGATCAAACTATTAAGAGTGAATATCGGCCGATAATGATCGGCGGCCAATCGATCGGAGCATCCCTAATTATTACCGGACATTTTGACCGGCAGGTTTTGAATTTACGTTTTTTTTATAAATTGTACCAGCTAAAAACCGGTAATTACCGGCTAACGGAAACCCTGATTTGTGTATGTAGGAACCATGAATATGAATAGGTATTGTCATGGTTTACATTGTGGTAATGGTAAATGTAAAATTATAATTTGTTACGTGTGATTGCAATGGTTAAACTTTAGATACATTTGGACATATTGATGTGGGTTGCACTGATGGGAGAGGGAGAGGGTCGCTGTGTTTTTTGTTGTCCGCAACTTTGTCCAGGATTTTCTATGCTATGATAACTGATTTGTTCAACATATAATGGATTTCAGAATGTTAGAAAAGGCAATAAGGCCCGACCTCGGCTCCTCGGTCATGCTGACACTAGCACATGCGGTCATGCACAGATCTTATCTCATCTCTCAATGGCTGTGTTGTTACTACTACATTGTTCAGTCTGACATTGCCTTTTTGTAAGATGTTTTCTGTGTGGTAGGATTTGATTTTGACTCAAGCCAACTGCTAAGGACTCACTTGTAAAGCTGCTCTCAATATAATTTCAGTCAACGCGTCTCCTCAGTTAGCCATGATACCGTTAGCTTTAGTCATTCATATTGGGAATTTGTACAGAAAAATTAAAGTGTCCCATGTACAGTATTGTACAGTACATTACCTTCTGCCTTCAATCCCTGAATAAAATGCATTTTACATTCTAAGTACATTAATTGTCACATCTAACCGGAGGGTCATTATTAATAATTTGTTGTGTTTACCTCCCCCATTTTTCTAATTTCCCACTTTTCCATTTCATTGACAAGATCTTTCCACGTTATTTCAAGTTATCCTCTTTTAACCAATTCCTGATGGAAAATCTTAAAGGAAACTCAAGGATTGTGGTGTGGAAACACATGAAAAGGGAACTGGCTTTTTAATTTATCATGAATATGTGTCCTTACCTACCTTCATGAGATCAGTAGTACAGGCTTGAGCACACACTCACACTTTCAGGAGCCAGATATCTGACCTGACACTTCCTCATATTTTCATCCTCCCCTTCACACATCCTCTCTCTTTTCTCTCATAACAAGTCTGACGTTGTTTACCTGTCCTTGTGCTGTTTTTATACTTCATTTTCTCTCCACCTCAATAGGTTTTTCTCTGTGTGCCTCAAACACAATAAATTATACATGCAATACTGGCTGCCTCATTATGTCCTGTGCCCTTTGCCGCTTCTCACCGACGTAGCAGGCAGTCTCTTTGCTGTGTGTGTGTGTGTGTGTGTGTGTGTGTGTGTGTGTGTGTGTGTGTGTGTGTGTGTGTGTGTGTGGTGTGTGTGTGTGTGTGTGTGTGTGTGTGTGTGTGTGTGTGTGTGGTGTGTGTGTGTGTGTGTGTGTGTGTGTGTGTTGTGTGTGTGTGTGTGTGTGTGTGTGTGTTGTGTGTGTGTGTGTGTGTGTGTGTGTGTGTGTGTGTGTGTTCATAAGTATGACTTATTTATCGGGTTATTTTCCCTATCTGGCTCTACATACAGTTGACCGTATTCATGCATACCCAATTGTACATATTTTTTCACTTTCCTACTTTTTTTCCTCACTTTTGAATTTAAATTATAAACAAGTATAACCCTGTGACTATTGACTATAATATATATGTTTATGCATGAATAATGTGTCTGAGCTTGGGTAAACATGTTTACATCCAACTCTTTCTATGGTTAATATAATGCTAACTTGCCCATAACAGTCAAAGTTATGCTTAAAGAAGAAATATAAATGTGTCAAATGTGGAAACCCACATTGACTATTGTCTTATGATAGATTTTTCCAACTTTTGAAGCGCCCGCCATATCCTGTGACCTATTGACTCCAAATCCATACCAGATATTTTAACTATACTGACCAATTAAGACACAGCTCTTTTTATCGAATTTTAGATATTTTTGTTGAAAAGTCTAATTAACTTTGATTAGCTTTCTTGCCATGTGGCCCACTGACTCCTCAACTATACCAGATAGTATTACTACACTGGAAAATAAGGACAGGCCTGTTTATATTGGCGTTCAGTGCTTCTTCTATTCAATAATAATATTGTAATTCACTTTCAGCTGTTTTTAATGAGTTTTATATGAAAACAGTTAAAAAAAATTGCAGTATCTGCAGTTGAAAAGACTAATTTATTAACACAACCTTATATATATTGTAACCACTACCAATACAGTAATTGTTCCTTTCAAAGGAAAAGGAAACCATGAAACCCTTTAAAAAGCTATATCAAGTTGTAATTCTATATTCTGCCTCATTACAGGTTACTGTCTGTAAAGAAGAGAGAAACAACTGAAACAGTCATTGTAAAAAGTTTTGAATTACTCCTACTTTCTTATGGATCAAGTTGTCTCTTTGTTTGTTTTTGTTCTTTCATTTTTGTGAGACTAAGTTGTGGTTGACTGGCCTCCTCACCCACTGAGAAAACTTTTAGTTTAAGAAAGTATTCTAGGAAAACAATGATGCTTAATTAGAAAGGACAGGATGCTTATTTGTATTACGTCCCCAGCGTGCGATTGAAGCTTATTACACAGCAGCAGTTCACTTAGAAATCTGCTAAGTGAAGCATCAAAATGAGTCAAAACATATGACAAGATAACAGTTCTTGTTCTAAACACAACAACCCTCAGCATGAATCAGCAGCTCCACCTGCTTTAACAGAATATGCCTTGAATCGCACATTTCAACACTCATAGTTTTTCCGGGAAGAAGTATAATAGACTCTCATCGTTGGAAAACAATTGAATTAATTGTTAAGGTGGACCCTTTTCTTGCTGTGTGCAGCTGGAATCTGACCCCTGGTGTAAACACAGAACAGGAATAGCGATGTGGGCAGAGCTCGTCCTCCTCTCCTCAGTTAGCTCTTTTGTTCCTGGGATGCGTGACAGCTGCTGCGGCGCCGCTTTGATGAAGATAAACAGTTTCTGGCGGGAGCTCAGACGTGGGTTGTCGGATTCTGAGGAGACCCGAATGTGTGTCAGCTGTTACACGCCCCGTCACTCAAGCAATAATAGCTGGTACCAATCTGCCTTCATAAGCATTTTCCTTTCTCTCTCCAGCCTCTCTTGCACTCTGTCCTGCTCTGACTTCTTCTCATGGGAAAAAGCTTGATGTATTTTAAAAGAGTGTTTTATAATAATACCTCTTGTCAAATACCTCAAGTCCAATGGAGGCATTTCAGGCAGGGGGGGGGAGTGTGTGGGAGAGAAACTCCCTCTGGAGGGAACACAGGGATTTTAGCTTTTGCAGACCATTTACATGCATACAGTATTAACACCCTACAGAAAATGGAACCCCCAAAAGGGCCTCTATAAAGACATTTGTATCTACACCTGTCCCTCGTGTAGACGCTTGTACCTGTCAGTTTGTACAAATATACACACTTGGATCTACTGTAATTGAAAAGTTGAAGCAGGTAGATTAGAGTTGTTTATGTCAGTCACAGCAGTCCTGTTCATTCAGCCAGCAGCTCGATCCAGCCGAGTCATCACAGAGAAGTCAGATGTTTAAATCTCAACAGACGGGTTAGGATGCATAAAGGCTGGGAGCCAGATAATAAATATTTGGTGATATTTACGGGTGCTCAAATCCTTTAAAGTGATTTATACATGAATATGTGTCCCCGGTGTGTCAGGGAACTCACCAAGTGTCAGAAAACACAACCCTCTCTCTTTTCCTCCATACCCAAATCTCTAAAAACGGGGCTGCAACGGATCTGATACAGACTGATACAGATTTGAAAATTCTCTGACGTCAGGAACGAGGAGCTCCGCCTATATGGCCAACTCTCCACCTATCAGGAGGAGACAGCCACGGCCATTGCCGTTCGAAAGCGCTGGAGACGCTGTAGTACATATGCCAGGCCTGTAGGTGGCGCTGTAGTCTGCCACAAAAGCAGCAAAGAAGACTTCTCACAGAATCAGCCCTTGCAAAAACAGGGCTAAAAAAGAGCAAATAGAGCGAGATGAGGCATGGCTAAAATGCATGATCTGTTTGGTATTTTGAAGAAAAAAAACGTCGCAGACATGTTTTATATAGGTATGGCCCTACAATAGATTATTCAAATATAGCATGATAGGTCCACTTTAAGTTATTGGCCATTTAGAGTTCTTGAGGGGTCTGTTCTGTCCACGATCACTTGAAATACAGAGACTCTAAACAAAAAGTGCTTCAGGCTTTAAAACTGTCTGTGGTGTAA